CAGCGAAAGTGGCTAAATACCCATAGGAGTTTTATGAAGAGTATGTATTATAATTGTTAAAAAATATATTTGTAACAAAAATTAGAACAATTTTAATAATTATTTAATAACAAAAATATCGACACGCTACTGAAACACTTAAGTCTAATTAACGTATCCTAATTATTTTGAACAAGTAGTAAAAAGAGCTAAAATATAAAAAATATATATAATTAGTTAATTCTAAGTGAATTTCATAATTAAATGGAAACTGCACATAACGTGTATTATGCCTATATATTGTATAATTACTTACTCTGTTTTTGACCCAGATCTACTGCATGCTGGACAACTAACTAATTTACGGTCTTTCTGAAATTCGCCATAATGTTATTGTTAATTCAGGTTCTGACACAATACCCTTCTAAATTTACCACTTCTAGACAAAACCAATTACCGAAAAGTAATAAATACCAAACATAAAATAAGCTCATAAAAGCACAACTTATAGTTTCATTCAGAACCTCGTGTGGTTTCCATTAGCGTAGAAGTTTGTTCCTCTAATTTTTATGTAAGCATTCAGAACTTTAAAATTAGTGATAGTAATTTTCACTTAAGCTTCATTCAGAACCCCGAAATTAGTGGTTTTAATTGGGGTAGAAGTTTTTTCCTTTAATTTCAATGTAAGCATTCAGAACGTCAAAATTAGTGGTAGACATTTTCAATTAGTAGAAAAAGTTATCAAACTTTTAAACTTTTCCACTAATTATATAAAATTTGCGAGAAATGTCATTTTGGCATTTGATTATCTTCCGTCAAGAGAAATTGTGGTTAGAAAGAAATCAAAAGTTTATTCTTTAATAAGCTAAATATTAAGCTGTCTCTATGGATACAACTGACTAACGTAAGCTGTTGCTAGGACATTCTATTAATTTTAATTGTTTTTAAACATTGTGGATTCAGAACCTCCCAATTAGTGGAATAAATTAGTGGTTTCAATTTCACTTTATACTTTTTAGTTTACGATCATTCACAATGTCTAAAGAACACAATTAAAATTAATTAAATATCCTAGCAACAGCTTGCAGTAGTCTGTTGTATCCATAGAGAAAGCATAATATTTAGCTTATAAAACAATAAATTTTTGATTTCTAACTTGTTTCTAACCAAAATTTTTCTTGACCGGTGATAATCAAAGGTCAAAATGACATTCCCCGCAAATTTTGAAGTATAATTAGTGCAAAAGTCAAAAGTTTGTTAACTTTTTCCAATAATTGAAAATTACTGCCACTAATTATGACGTTCTAAATGCTTACATTAAAATTAGGTGAACAAACTTCTACGGCTAATTAAAACTATTAATTTATTCCACTGATTTCGAGGTTCTGAAAGAAGCTTTACTTATTATATTTTTTAGATATCGTGAATGATAAAATAAACTCATAAGTGCCGTATGATAAAAAAACGGCATCAAAGACAGCTGGAGAATGACAATCGATGCTATTTTTGACGAGGTCGAACCTTAAACGTCATTTAATAAAAATTGACATAAAACTTGTCAAAATTAATACCTAATATTGAAAAACTAGAAAAAGAATAATAAGTTTCCAGATACACAAATCTATTTCCAAAAACTGTTCTTTCAAATGTTCTGATCGCACCAGTTCTACTCAATATAAAAATCTATATTAAATCATCATTTTTTATGCAGTAAACAAATGCCTTTAAAAATAAAGAAGAGAGAGACTCCAACCCATAAACAACTCCAACCTAACAACTATCCTGTCTGTAACTGTAAAACACTAACTTATAGATTTTTTATATTAATTACAGTTCTAAATTCTAAATATCAGAAAAAATAATTTCTTGAAGATAGATTTCTGTATTCCAAACCAAACATTCTATTTGTCTTCTAGATTTTCTACATTTAGTATTTGGCGGCCTTTAAATTGGCGTTTTTTTTTTAATTTATGTGCTAGGTAAATTATAATGAGATACGATCTGAAGAATCGCCAATCTATAGAAAATGCAAACGACCTGATTACTATTATTTATTATTCGTTGTAGACCAATTATCTAACAATTTTCTAGCCCGTTCGCGATAATGCATTCGTTCTTCGGACTTTTGTTTCACCTAAAGACCCACTAATCGATATACAAAAAGTAGTTGAGCGCGGTTACGATGAAAATGTAGGACACCAATGGATGGTCCGAATTCCTGAACCTACGCAAACACGCATAACTGATGTATGTAGACCGTCGTCCGTTTTTAATAAAGTTTTTCGCCACTTTGTGAAAGAGGAAAATTATAATTTCCTACGGGGGGTTTTCACGACCAAGTTCAAGTGATCAAGTCACAGGAATTTAACTGATTTGAAAGACTTGAATTGATTCAAAATGGCAATAGAATTCACAGAAAGTTTATTAGGTAAAAAACTTGATAGAAAATGGATTAAACGCAGAACTGCTTATGGTGGATCTAATACTTTAATACATAAGCTACACTTTGAAGATTTTGATCACTTCGAAGATCCTGAGAAAATTTTAGGAATGGATGCACTTTCATTTTTATTGGAAAAGTTGTACTCTGAATTAAAAAAACAAGACACATTAATTCGTAACGTTATTTCTACTCGGCTTAAGCTAGAAATTACTTCCCTAACTTTGTATTCCGGATTCTGTAAATTCTAACTCATATTTTTTATAAATATTAATAATATTGTGCCGAAATCAGCCCCGTTCTAATTGCCCTGTCCCCATATGACCTTCTGGAATCGCATCAAAGAAGAGACACCGCAATGATTCAGCCGATCGAATAAATAGGAGGAACACGAATGGCGGCGAATGAACAAGAACAATCGAAAGCGTCCCTCTCTATACACCTAATGGTCTAAGAAAATCTAGACTGTCTGTTTCTCTCAAGTTTCTCTCGTATAAGAACCGACGCCTGGGGCGTGAGGAGGATAGAAACAGTGTAGGTAGTCGTGCTCGCGCCTTTTAAAATAAATTCAAATAAAGCCCTTTTAGATAAATAGTTGTAAATAAGTTTGTAAATAGTTCTTTAAGTGTTTTATCGTTATTGTTTTGTAGGTTAGGTTAGGTTAGGTTGCTAGGGTTTGGGATCATGTTTGATTCCTCACTCACTCGGAGGCGTTGGGCCTATTATGATACCCTGTATTATTGTACCAAACCTTCCTCTCATTCTTACTTTGCGTTAAAGCACTTCCAGCTCTTTGCAATGTTGCTGATTCCCCGATGTTGCTGAATGTCGAATTGCTTTGCTGCTTGTCGAAAGCAATTGCTGATTCCCGAATTCCCGATGTTGCTGATGTTGGCTTCTGCTACTTCCTCTAGTCCCTCCAAAAACCTTGCCCTATAGTTTTAAAGCGTCGGTATTCCAGTGCCGGACAGTGGCACAGCAGGTGCTCTATGGTTTCTTCTTCCTCTCCGCATTCTCTGCAGTAATCGTCGTCGGAAACTTTCCATCTCACTAGGTTTACCCCTGGGGACAGTTTCCAGTGACGACACCTACAATTATGCGTACTAGGTCCTTTTGTGCTCTAGTAGTTGTTTTGTCTTTTGCTATCTACCACTGGCCATAGTCTTCGAGCTGTATCGCAGTCCTCACGGTGTTGCCACGTCTCTTGCTGCTTGGCTTTGATGGCAGTTCCTATAGCTTCCTTCAGTGTGTTGATCGTCACAAGTGGTGGGTCATCTGCCACGGCCGCTCCCCTGCCCTGTCTTTGGCGAGTCTGTCTGCTTCCTGGTTGCCCACCACATTGCTGTGGCCTAGCACCCATTATTGTTTTGTAACTTAGTGTAAAATAAATTGTGTTAAATAAATTAAGACTTTTATCCACACGGAACCGACGAAACCGTAACAGTATTCACAAAATTTTCTTCTGGTCATTGTCTGTTTTAAATCAGGATGTTTTTGTAGAATGTTTAGAGGGGGTTAAAGGTACAAGCGGAAGGAAGTTTTATATCCTCGTGTATAGGAAGGTCAGTATGCGTCATAATTTTCTTGTACTCTCGAATTAGACTCTCTTGCCTTCTTAGTTCTGGTGGTGCTTTATTGCTCAGTGTTGGCAACCAGAAGGAGGGAGTAGTTTTTATACAGCCCGTGTCTCATCACGCATGGTTGAAGTCAGCTGTACATCTAGCTTGTGGGTGTGGTGGCTATTCAGCCAGACTGGTGCGCAGTATTCAGTAGTACTGAATACAAGACCCAGTGCTGCGCATCGGAGGGTGAAGGCAGTAGATCCCCATGTCGATCCGCATAATTTTTGTATGATATTATTCCTGGATCTGACCTTCCCTGACGTCTTCTAGGTGTGGCCGATATGTAAGAGTTCTGGCAAGAGTTCTGTCAAGTGTAACACCTAGGTATTTTGGTGTGGGATTGTGCTTAACAGGGTTTCCATTGAAGTATATGCTAAGTCGGCGAGAACATATGCATTCAGTTTTATTTGGGTTCGAGACAGCCTCCACTTTTTATAGTATTTCCATAATACTTTCAAGTCGTCTGTCAAGACGGCTTCCGTTTCTTCTACGGTCGGGTAGCTTACGGCAAGGGCAAGGTCGTCAGCGTACGCAAATTTTCTACTGGTCGTCGTTGGAATGTCGGACATGTAAAGGTTGAAGAGAGCCGGTGCGAGCACAGATCCCTGAGGCAATCCATTTTTTAATGATCTTTTGTTGCTGTATCTCTGGTCCACTACTACACGAAAGAGCCTATCGCATAACATACTATTTAGGAGAGAACTAAGTGTTCTGCAGGGGATAAGTTTTAGGAATTTATACAGTAGTCCTTCTCTCCATACCGTATCATAGGCAGCTAAAAAAAATTTGATTTAAAATGACATGACAAGATGTCATTGTCAGATTATATTCTATCGTAGACTGTAAAATTACAGATTAAATTATGTTTCCGGAGATGTTTGGACTAAACAAGCATAGAAAAAGTATGTGTATCGTGTGGCTAAGTAAGTTTAAATTGAATTTGTTTATTTTTTTTTCAGGAAACCATGAAAATCACAAAAACGAAAATAAGACTGACGATTCTTTAATAGTGCCAAAAAGAACAAAAGTTTCTAGTATCTCACTCAACATTCCGGCCGCTGGACTAGGTAGTAGGCCTGCCTCTATTGTTACAACCTCCGATGAAGGTATGGTAGTAGTTCTATTTGATTTATTTTTTATTTTTTTAATATATGTTTTGTAAAATCGTAATCTACACAACGTTTTGCCTGTCGGTTTTTTGCCTGTCAGGAAAAACGGAAGTCCGTCTAGAAAATGTACGGCAGTCCTCAGTTGGGGAAACGTTTTCCAAACTTAAAATCTCGAGTATTTTACAACTCTAGCCACCATTATACAGTGTGTTTCAAAAAGCATGTGCCATCTCTCTTGGGGAGATTCCTCACTTAAAAATAAGATTTATTTTACATATCAATATCTGTACCTTATGGTGCGTCCAGACCTGATGAGTCGAGTGCGACACGAGCGCGAGACGAGAGCGAGGCAAGAGCAAGACGAGTGCGAGACGAGAGCAAGACATTTTCTATCCATTTTTTGACGCAAGCCTGCCGCGAGACAAGCGAGTTGGATCCTATGGTTGGATCATAGTGAAAGGTGACCGGTTTGTGTAAATATGTCCGATGAAAAACCTGCAGCAAATAATAACGCATAAGTAATAAATTTTTGTAT